TTTACCTCTGGTTTTTTTTTTGGCGGTAACCATAATGGTGGTCGAGTAGATCATGTTGTGCGGGGTCGAGAAACCTCACTCCGCGCAACGGGGGATGATCGCACCACGTTGTGTTAAAATGGTCAAGCTTCCTCGAGGCAGTTACACAGTGCTTACAACTGTCTCTGGAAGTGAAAGCACCAGAAAATAAATTAAGTCATACGTAGCTGTCATCCGTACGCAAGGAAGTAAGCACAAGATGCCGAACACCCTTAGCAGGATGCAGCTCACCCTTCATGCGACTCGCCAAATACCTCACGGCGCTTCGCGCTTGGTGATGTGAGAGCCTGGTCCGGTGAGAACCCGGCGTGCGCCGTCCCGGCTTTGTAGGGATGCGAGGTCAATGGTCAAACGACTACGGCATGCACGACTATGAGTACACCCCCCCCCCCCGTCTCTCTCTGTGTATACTTCGGTCGGTCCCGGTCAGATTGCCAGTAAAAGGGGGGGACGAAAAGCAGAAATCCGATTGGTCAATCTCCTCTGCATCTTCGGAGCTACGTTGGAGGGAATTTCCGGGATTACGGCATGGGAAAACCTGAAGGGGGTATTCTTGTTCGCCTTCGGCAGGTGCGTTTGTGTTGTCTTACGGCTACGTGGTGTTTTAGGTTAGCTAATATCTATCTCTCGTTGTCGTTGTTGCGTTGTCGTATCATAACATCGAGTTTGATGTCATGTTCGGAAATCATGCTTCATTTTGTCCTCTCCTGAGGGCCGGAAAAGCTTGCCATGCCGTAGAGTACTTTGGATGGTAAACATAGATATAACCGTGGATTTCCTCCGAGAATGACGGGATTAGTCGATCCATCAGGTTCCTGTTATAAAGGGGAATCAATGGTCTAACGACTACGGGGTGCGTTTACATGAACACCCCCATTGAGCGAATGTCCATCAGATCATCGGTGATCCTTCCCGTGGGAACAATGCTCCATCCGTCCTCTCCTCCTCCCGAGGACGCGTGGTCAACGGTCTAACCGCTACAGCATAAGAGTATGTCCCCACCCACCCCCCCCGTAGGTTAATCTACGGTCTCGGGCTCGGGCTATCGCTCCGCTGCGGGCCGATGTACCTCAGAGAGACAGTGACGGGTCCGTTCCGGAACGCCGCTACGGTGTCTGTTAAACTCTCCATGGTGATCGGGGTGATCATCTCGTATGTCTTGGGGGGCCTTCTCTCCGGCAATCCCACGATCGGTAAGGCTTGGTTTGGTTTTTTGGGGTACCGGTAGGCAACTTGAATGAATAGTGCACCGATGTAGTGGCATCAAAAGCTCTTGTCACAATCTCAACATGTACATGAAGAACCCGAGACATGGAATGTGCCACTGCCCTGAACAGTGGCATGTTCTCCTCTGGCCCCTACATGTCACTACTATATCGGGCCATCTGCTGTAGCGGCGATGACCGGTGTCGTGACCGGTGGCGTGCCGGCACCTTGTTGCGAGAATGCGCTGGCCGACAGACAGAGGCGTGTATGTGTGTCGTCGACCTCATGCGTCCCCGCCGAACCCGCGCAAAAAAGAAATCGACCCCCGTTGCCACGACGCACGGTTTTGGACGAATTCATCGCTGTGTTCGGCAGCACCAAAAACTGTTGTCTGTTGTTATTTTGTAACTGATGTACAATTGTATGTTTTGTTTTGTGTTTGGTGGCACAATTGCCTATTTTCGGATTTTGGCCCCGCTCGGAGTACCGTTGGCGCGGTAAGCAAAAAGCAATCGTGAATCCATCTTTCTCTTGTTGAACGGTTTTTCTTTTTTTATGATGGACTATATCGCCACTATGCTTTTTAATTTGTCCGTTGTTTTTTTTTGCTGCCTTGACAGCATACTTCGGGGTGTGGATCCTAGCCGGAACGTCTTTGGCTTGCCTGCAGCAGATGCCGGAGTCGCCTATGTACATGCTCCTCCACGAGGAACAATTCCACAGGGGGCAGATCCTCGATGCCTTAAGGTGACCCATGCCCTAGATTATGCCGCTATGCATACAGCAGTCGACTAAATAGGAAAGAGGCAGAGAGATGGCACCCCCCCCTAGACAACCCTTCAAAGCTCGATTCGATTACTCCACCACAAAGTGGGTGCGGAAAGAGCCTGATACGTCTGCGGAAAAATTCCTCGAAGAGAAGTTTCCGAAACGGATTCCATTTTTGATGTTGGCACAGGCACGAGCGCGGTTGTTATTTAGCTTTGAAAATCGGTCTATAATGTAGGAGGGTGCCATCTCTCCGCCTCTTACGGTATATATATCATTCGCGTACTACCTGAGTACGGAAGGTAAACACAAGTGTGTAGTTGCCGTCGTGCAAGGTGTGGGTAGGTAGGAAGGGAAGACGTTCCCTCCGGCTTTTTTTGTTTTTATTTATGGCGTGTCGATCGTTGCCGTTCAAAGACGAAGATGAATGGACTGCTTATTTTGGCTGCCGTTGATGCTGCTGGTCGTTGAGCGCTACAGCATTTATCGCTGCTCAAAGATCATTCCTGGTCGGTATGGAACGCTACGCTACGGTATAGAACGCTACACTACGGTACGGTATGGAGCCGTACGGTGCGGTATGAAACCGTACGGTACGGTACGGAACGGAACGGACAGTGTCGCGACCCACGGTATCACAAATGTCTCCTTTATTTTCTCCGGACTCTGAATATTCCACATGTAGCATGCCTGCTGCGTTCGTTCAGTCGTTCGTTTCTTCTCTCCGGCGCATTCGGGTCATCACCGCCACCGCCTTGGCCTTCTTTCATGTTCTTTTAAGAAAGTATACATTCAAGCACATCATGACTGCCCGTTTCGAGATAATACCGCAGTCAGTCCAAGGGGATGCGTTGAAGTCTTTACATATACCATGATACGGTGAGCGGAAGAAAAAACCGGCTGGATACGAACTGGCTTGTTTTGAGCCTTTTAAAATAAAGAGCCTAACCACCACCTGTGACAACGGGAATCGACCGCGTCAAGTGTTGAGACTATTACGGACAGAAGAAGGTACTGGGTAGAAACAACGGAACGGTTTTTGATGTGAAGACAACAACAACAAAAAACACTAAATTTTCTCGTTGTTTTTGGCCTGCTTGCCGGGCATGCGCAGGTTCACCAGCCCGGCGGCCACCGAGGCTGACTTGGTGTCCCTTCAGAAGGAGATCTTGACGGAGGTGCTGGCGTACACCCCTGGACACCCCTCCTTCGCCGGGGGGGTACCTGGTAGCAGCGGCGACGCCTCTTGCGACGGTGCCCCCGCTGTCCCAACGGTTCGCGCGGAGACCGGCACGGCCACGACTACTCCGACAACGGCAGCACCAGGGGCTTTCTCCGGCAACGGTGTCGGGGAGGGGACAGGGGACGTCACCTCGTGAGTCGGTTGGGACCTCCTTGGCGAGAAATTACTTGAAATGGGGAGGGGGTACGCGGACCCTATTCCCTGACCCTGACCCTGACCCAACTTCCCCGATTGCGTGCTTTATCCAACATGTTTACTTTAACAGAAAAATCGTGGGATGGCTAATTGTCGGTTAGCACGCATCATAATGTTGGTTGACGGTTTCTTTCTTTTTGCTCATAGTGAGGTTTCCGTGCTGCCGATGAGGCGACAAGACAAGCGGAAGTCGATTGGTTTCCCTACCAGTCTCATATCGTTATATTGGTTGATGGGGTCTTTTTTTGTGTATTTCGACCTCGTAGTGATGCTGCTGATGAGGCGACAAGACAGGCGGGACTCGATTGGTTTGCCTACAGTCTCCAAGCAGGAGAGAGGCGAAGCCAGCCCTGCTGGTTTCTCTCTATGTTTGTGGTCAGCAGTATACCATCCACTGCGTTCTAGTGCTATGTATTGTAGCGGTAGAAAGTGCGTGACGATTCGGATAAATCATAAATCGAGCGGTATACTATACCTGCGGCCCATCTTGGAACAAATTTTTATTCGCTTTGCCGAACACGTGTTGCTATGTCCTAACTTCGTAGGAGTATGTAGAAGGCTCCAGGAGCAGAGAGAGAGAGAGAGAGAGAGAGAGAGAGAGAGAGACGGAGAGGGTCGCCTTGTCTGTGTCTTATGCTCACTTCGTGGAAAGCGGTGCAAATATAAAATATATATATGGGGGTGTTTGATTTAATTAATTGTTTTTAGGTTTGGGGAGTACATATAGTGCGCTGTTGGCGCTCGCAGTTAGTAAAAATTATTTTTGAGACAAACAGGGTCAGATCTTCGCGAGAAACAAGAAGGAAAAAAGGCGTAGAAGCACATCTCAGCGGTGGATCCCACGCTAAACTCTATACACTGAAGTTGTCCATTTAGTAAGTTGTGCTCTCCGGTTGCCTCATACGAAATACTCGTAGCAGTATGTAGGAGTGTCGAATCGATAGAACCACGACCCGATTTGCATTGATGTTGTCTTTTTTAGAAAATATACACTCATCTAAGAAAGTTTGAAGAATTTTCAGAAAGTTGGAGGTAGTTCTGCTGTACCAAAGCCGAAGGGGGCGCATTTTGTCTCCGGGCGCCAGCTGCTTTTCTCTGATGCGCACCCCCCCCCCCCCCCCCCCCCCGGCAGGAGTTCCACAACCGGAGGCGGGGAAGGGGACGCGGGGTATGATCCCCTCGACAACTCGGAGAAGAGGGGAGCCGTGGCCATGTCGGTCAAGAACCTGCCCTCCCTTACCAAGGCCCGTGGCATGCGCGCCGCGTTGGTGCTGACCGCTGGTCTGATGGTGTTCGAGCAAGCGTCTGGCATGGCTGCCATTTTGTACTACGGAGGTGGGGGCAGTAGATGGCCTGCTGTTTGGTGCGGTTGTTTCCGTTTTTTGGCTGCGGTTTTGTGTTTAGTGTTGGTGTTGTTGTCGTGTTATTGTTGGGGTTGCTGGTGTTGTCATGTGTGTGATTAAACTTGTTGCTGTTGTGGTGTTGCTGTCGTTGCGATTGATGACGATGGGACGTTTGTTTTTGCGGCGTGACCCGATGGTGCTGACCTTCCCTGCTGTTGCCTTCCAACCAACCTTGCGCTGGGTTCCCTTTTCTGCCCACATTTCCTCCTCTGTACTCAGCAAACCAAAGCCAAACCAAAGCCCTACAATGATCTCCTGCGCATCTCGTCCCGTCTCTCTTCTTGTGTAGGGGTGTTTTTGGCGGACATCTCCGTGATCTCCGTAGACTGGGGCCTTGCCATCCTCGGTGTCCTGCAGCTAGTAATGGCCGTGGCGGTCATGTACGCCCTCAATCCCATCGGGCGGAAGCCGCTCTTATATTACGGTAAGTACAGCAGTACCGTGGTAATCTCATCTCCTGTTAGGTTGTGGCAAATGATGTTTGTCTTGTATGCTGTTAGGTAACGGTGACGTAAGGTGAAATATGTCCTATCTGCTGTTCCATTTCGGCAAACACGTCCGATTTGCTGTACAGTGTTACGTTAAGCATGCGCCACCAGCTGTTTGACAAGAGTAAGTCGTGCAATACGTCTTGAACGGGCCTCGTGACCCTGAGACCCTCGCTTGTTGATTTTGTGTGTTGTGTTTGTGGGCAGCAGCACCTGACCCTGGTTGTTCTTTTGTATCTCTCTCTCCCATCTTGACTGTGAAGCTGCTGTTACAGCCAGTGATACAGATACCTGCAGATGCCCTAACCATTATCTTATTTTTGTATCCTACCAGCGATCGTGCTATCTTGGATGTGGTCTAGCCTGGTCTGTTGCTCCCGCTGTTGTCGTTTCCACGTGCTCTGTCTGCGGCACCCGCTGTTCTCAGCGAAGCTAGCTGTCCCTTCGCTTCCCCCCACTGCCTCGCACTCTTTTTTTGCCCCATGTCTATCTCGGACACTCCACTCGAAAATACCATGCTGTTATCCAAAACCAGGGCTAGCGGGTTTGATGGCGAGCTCGCTGATGCTGGTGATTGGAGGCGTGTTGGGGATGGCAGATGACGGTCGATGGTGGGCTTTGATTGGCCTCTACGCCTTCACGGCGTCTTACAGCACCAGCCTGGGGGCTTTGGTGTGGGTCTTGGTATCAGAGGTGAGGCTCTATCTTCGTTGGTGTTGGTGTTGTTCTTGTTCTTGTTGGTGGTGGTGGTGGTGCTGCTGCTGCTGTTGCTAACTCTTGTGCAGTGCCTCCTTTTGTCTGTCCTTCTATAATTTCGCAGGTACAGCAGTACACACATGGGCGTCGTTTTCTCATCGTCGAAACCTCTTGCTACTCTTGGATGTTTATGACATGACATGTCTATGACATGACAGGTATTCCCGACCTGCCACCGAGCTCAGGCGATCTCAATCGTGGCGATGGCGCACTTCGGCACTTCGGCTATCGTTGTGGTTTTGCTGCCGCTTGTGGTGAGTGTAAGGACAAAGAGGACAAGTCTTGCTGGGTACAGTAGCGGGTGCTTTGCGTCAGAGGCTGTGGAGAAAAGGTTGACTCAAGACCTTGTTATTGCCGAGTGGACAGCAGGACCAGCAAGCCCTGCTGCATGCTAGAAGGGGGTCCGCCCTTGCAGTATCACATGCCAACATGACACACGAGACCTCCTAGATCTCCTAGATTCGTATCTAGTGCTGAGTAATCTAACAACTATTATTCCTACAATATGATGGCGCTGTCATAATGGATCCAGAAGGTAGCCATGACAACACATTGGGCAAGAGGCTTGGTCATCCGTACTCTTGAAACCTTCTAGACTGTAGATGCCGCACATACGAGAGTACAGCAGTTGCCTATTTTACGCCCAGTCTGGTGTCTCTCGTGTTTTGTCTGGTACGTTGCGTCTTGCGGTTGTACAGCGGGTACGAAGTCCGAGGCTTCTATTCAGAAGTACTTTCTTAAGGGAGCGATTCTCAGCATGACGGGGTACGAACGTAAATACTGGTGTTGTGGACACTGACACGGGGCACAACAAAATCGACAGGTACCGACGCGGAGAGTTTCCTTTTGCCGCGTTTCCTGCCAAGCGCAGGAGAGGTCCCAACGACAGCGGGCGCTACTACAGCTGGGCACTCCTACTCATCGCTATCATCGTCGGTGTACTTTTGCTGTGACGGTTGCGGCGGGGGACGCGGTCCTCGTTGCAGGACCGCTTTGCTGCAGTGTTTCCATCGCGTTTTCGAGCCGCCTTGTCCTCGCGCTTCCGCTGGAAGCACGTCTCGTTGGTCTGAGTTACAGTGCAACCTTCCCTCAACCACAGGAGGGCCGCCGTGACCGGCTGGTTGGTATTTCCTGCCCTCTTGAGGGCACCGTGAGTGTATACCGATCGGGTTGCCTCCGGTCTTCAGCCGCGTTTACCGGGGGGCCAATAAAATGCATAAAAGTCTCGTGGGGAAAAGAACGTCAGTCTGGGGAGCCCGTGGACCAAAACATGCCTCGCCTAGTCCCCGCGGGTGGGGGAGGGGCGCCGCACATACTTTTTCTATCTATCTCATTTGAGGCGTACTGTAAGGGGTCAGCTGCGAGATTCGTTCCCGCCGCCGTTGAGCCTATCGCCTCAAGTCTGGGGTCCGCTTTTTGGGGACCGTCCGCACGGTGCAGGCCCCAGACGTCAGGCGATAGGCTCGACGGCGGCGGGAACGAATCTGTTCGCAGCAGCTGACCCCTTGCAGTCCCCCTCAAATGCAGAGATGGAGGCGCATGCCCCGGGACCCCAAAGCATGTGCGGCGCCCCCCCCCCCACCCTGTCGGGAACTAGGCGAGCACGTTTTGGTCCACGGGCTCCCCAGACTGACGTTCTTTTCCCCACGAGACGCGTGTATTTTTATTGGCCACCCGGAAAACACGGCTGAAGACCGGAGGCAACACGATACATTCAAGGTGCCCTCAAGAGGGCAGGAAATACCAACCAGCCGGTCACGGCGGCCCTCCTGTGGTTGAGGGAAGGTTGTACTGTAACTCAGACCAACGAGACGTGCTTCCAGCGGAAGCGGGAGGACAAGGCGGCTCGAAAACGCGACGGAAACACTGCAGCAAAGCGGTCCTGCAACGAGGACCGCGTCCCCCGCCGCAACCGTCACAGCAAGGACACCGACGATGATGATGATAGCGATGAGTAGGAGTGCCCAGCTGTAGTAGCGCCCGCTGTCGTTGGGACCTCTCCTGCACTTGGCAGGAAACACGGCAAAAGGAAACTCTCCGCGTCGGTACCTGTCGGTGTCCGTACCCGTAGTTACGGTACGAAGCTTCTATTTAGTTGATATTTTCTTCGCGGGGGGCTGTTCGCAGCATGACCTCGGTGGCTACGCTGACTACCGACTCCCTTTTGCTATGATAGTTCGCCGCAAGATGTGTGAGAGCATGCTCTTCCGTTCCATTCCCACATAATGTACTCACTTTTCGATCCCTCAACTTTTGTATAGGCATGCGCTTCCGTTCCATTCTTCCCGCATCCTGTACTTACTTGGTCGATTCCTCGACCTCTTGTCGCTGTTACACTTTGCAGCAAGACATCGGAGGCTACGCGGCCATGTTCATGTGCTTCTTCGTGGTGTCCATTTTCGCCAACATCTTCGCCCACGTGAGTGCCATGACCCATTTCAAGAGAAGCATCATCGTGTTGTCGTAACGGTATATTATCATCTATCCTCGGTGTTGTAGCCGACGTATTCGCTGTCGTGTAGGGGGTGTTTTACAATCGTCGTTTCGTGATGGGTGATTGACCGACAAGCTTCGGGTAGTGACGGCGTTTGTCATCCGTGTTGCAGCCAACTTCTTCGCTGGCGGAAGGTGCCGCTGAGGAGGCAACATTTACATGCATGCATTCTTCCTTCGTTCCAACGGCTCGTTCGTCTCTGTGTCTTTTCTGTGGTAGGGTTAGCGAGGGGAATGTTGTCTTTCCTTCATTGCGCGGGCCGTGTACGTGCTTCGTCAACTTGCTGTATTGTAGCATCGATCGGTTCTCCCTTCCCTTGATTGTGTGGGCCGTGTATGTATGCGTTTCATTAACTATGCTGCTGCTGTAGCACCGATCACGCTAACCGACTGGCGCCAATAAAGAGACGCCAGTATTTGTACAGTAGCGGGACTAACAATCGGGGAACACGCTGCCAGTGTGCGGGCTCCCGCGAAAACATCTATTAATGGCGGCCGGTTTTCGACGTAAGATAGCAGATGAGGACTCGTTTGATTGCTTCGTCCACTCTTATTTTTTGTTCACTCTACTGTCCCTCCGTCATGTGTTGTCACTTTGTCGCTTTGTCTTGCTCCCCCCTCCCCCCCCTGCAACAATAAATGAATGATGATAGCGCTACATGGTGGAGACAAGAGGCTTGACGTTGGTCGAGATACAGAACGCCCTGACGCTAAAGGCAGCGGGGTTGACGGCACCTCCGGAAACAATGGATTCTGCTAGCGTTTGATCACGATCCGTTCGTTTACCGCTTACGGTAATAGCACGCCTGGTTGGTTTAGGGGCGATGGAGGCCTAGCCTCTCGATGCTTCAGTCAGTCAACACCAGCAGGGCTTTCGTGTCGTGGCGATGTCCTTGGTGCTTTGTTGGTAGAGACTTTCGTACGGGAATGAATGATGGAAACGCATGGGTTGGTATGGTCCGCCTCATCGATGGTGTGGAGAGATCGAGCTACATAAACAACAATTGGTGCGAGGAATCTGAGTGTATCAAGTGCTTGTGTGGTGCTCTGAAGTAAGTGATGTTGGCCGTAGCTCTTCTGTTGCCATCTGTGTGTGTGTGTTGTGTGTGTGATTTATGCTTAGGGTGGACCCCAAAGAATTGCCGTCCAGCACATTGCACTTGATATAGTACAGAGTCAGTATGACATGACATGATGTGTCATGACATGTCTGTCAAGTACACTGCACCATAATACAGCAGTACAGAGCCAGTATGGCATGACATGATCTGTCACGGCATGATATGACGAGAAACAACTTATGTTTGGGAGCTGCGAACCCCTCTTGAGGTAACACCATACATGCGTATCTGTCTTCGACTTGGGAGGTAAACATGTTGTCTTGGTTGTCTTGTCTACGTACGCCTCGGAATGACCACGTTTTTCTTACAAGTGCTGCTGTTACGTAAGGCAAGGAGACAGCGAGGGTACAGCAGTGTTCTGTAACGATACGGTACAGAGGGAAAACGTTAACTAGCGGTGGTTCAATCAAGATGCTTGGTGAACCAAAGGTTTTGTCGAAGGTGGGGTAGTGTGAAGTTGGGAGGAGAAAACGATCATTGTTGTTACTATGCGTACTCCTTCCTACTGCCACGTAGATGTGGCGAGTCACCCCGGTGGAATTCATTTAATTTCCGTGCTGTGCGACATCAATACATGCGTGCTGCGGCGCGAACGAACGTCGAAAAAGTCGTTGGATGGTGTAGTGTTGCTTTCTCTTGTCTCGCGTGTGGTCAGTGGTTTGCGTGGCGACACGTTTCGGTGCTTGAATTGAACGAACGGCCAGAGCCAGCTTCTCTCTTAGCATTAACATCTACAGTACTTGTTATTATTGGGGAAATTCCCTGTTTTTGTCTGTCATTCACCAGCTTGTTTCTGAATTGAATGGCGGGTCGGTGTCTGTGCTGCTGAACCCCTCTCTTTTCCTCCGTGTTTTTCGCGAATATAGTTTAATTGGTTTTGTTGCATGTCTTGCTTACAGGACGCTGTGTCGCTTGGAGGAGGAAGTGCATATTTGTTTGTGGTTTTGTTTGTTTTGTATCTGCGCGTCGGTGTGTCCCGTTTGGTTTCCTACGTAGTTGGATGGACAGCGCTAACCAGCTAGCCAATGAACTGCCGCCAGTCTCGCTGGAGGCACCAATGGGCCACTTTTCACTCTGTTTTTTGTTAGCAATCAGCTTGAAGGAGGAGGCCCGGCTCTCCTCCGCCCAGCATGTTGAACGTTCTTGAACGATTCTTGTTTTGCCGAAGCATTGCAAGAAGCCTCGTCAGTTCTGACGCCCCCTTTGATACGGGGATGGATTCAATTCCTGTTGCTGATAAATCGAATCGGCTAAAGAATTGGACCCAACAACCTTTTCAAAGAATCAACACAGACAGACCCGCAGCATATTTGAGTGTAAAAGCATGTTGGCGCGGTACAGCATCTAGGTTAATTTGGCGATAACTATGATACCTCTATCTGCAGTCAGTGTCGTCAGTGTTTCGTCGTGGACAAAAACACGTACCAGGTATTTAGCAGTCGACAACATACATACTTGTAACGATGCACACAGACAGGTATTATGTTGTGGTAGCATTCAAAAACTCAACACCGCTTGTTTCAAATCATCTGTGGATGTCACATCTATCTGTGGATGACTGGTACATTGCGGGCTGAAGCAGGATATGATACCTCTCCAACTCTTCTCTTCCACCATGCCGCCAACGGAAGTACGGACCTGAAAGCTGTCAAACCTATTATTGGATTATTAGTCTAACTTGGGTGATTCTTGGTTCACCATCAATCAAGTAGGCCTTTTTTTTCGCTGTGTTCGCCGCAGGACACGACGTTGCCGCCCGAAAAAACATCAAGGCCTGATCATCGGTGCATATGCAATCATGGTTGGTGCGCAGACAGACACCGGCCTACCTCCGTACTACCAAACTACGACACCTTCCGAATCTACTATTTAGTTCGTACATACCGATAACAAGGCGTGTTGTTTCCGCGCACATCATCATCAAGTTTCTTTCAAGCCCGTCCGTCTGTCCTTCGCTTGACGACAGCGAACGAACCCTCCACCATCATATCAGACACCAACCACACCATCATCATGCCACTGTAGACACACACATGACGACCAAGTCAACCAAAAGAACACTCTTCTCTCTCGCCACACCAACAGAGCACTCAACAAGAGAGCTCGATGCATCATGGTCACAACGTGCAATCTCCGGCATCCCGCCATCCTATATATCCAAGAATCGAATCGACTACTACTACTGCACCCCACCAAACTACACAACACCAAAGAGGCACCAATATTGCAGACTACCGTGCAAAATATTTACTACAATACAATACGAGGCCTTACATTACCAAGACCCCCCCCCCCCCCCTCCCCGCGGCCCAAACGTTTGTCCGTGATCCTGGCGCACACCCACCCTACTGATGATACACAAAACATCAACAATATGGTACGTTGCAGAGGGGGGTTATAGTTCAATCGTTCATTCTTGCCAACATCTCTATTTATGTATGCAAACCAGGTACTTGTACATGCTTAGGCGTGTAAACCCTCGTGTGCCGAAAACGACATCGGGGGCATGGGGACACAACCCTTCCCCCTAGCGCAAGAGCAGTAATAGCATGGCGCTGCATCCGTGCCGGCCGGCCCTCCCCGTTGTTGCTCTTGACATGGACTCGAAATCCAGCGGGGTCCCGTAGCATGTATCGCCTACCACGAGCATCATACAAGGGAAGACAGACACCTCTCCATCAGCAACAGCTGGCGAATGCTCTCCACAGCCAAGCTATCGCTAACATTCCCGGACACCCAGGTGGGCCTGTCAGTCAGCCTGTCAGCTACGACGCCGCCCGTCCGTCAGGACCTCCTTGGCGGGAAATGATGGTGTGTATGAGGAAATGGAACAGGGAGGGGGTACGCAGACCGTATTCCCTAACCCTGACCCTAACCCAACTTCCCCGATTGATTGCATCCTTCATCCAACATGTTTACTTAACAGAAAAACCCTGCAAAGGCTGCTGGTCCGTCACGCCCTACTCTTGTTAGCCTCCCCTCGGGTAGAGCTTCTCCTGCTAGTTACCACGGCGGGGCTGGGGGGCCGCGTCCCCCCCCCCCCCTTCGCGGAACGCCCCTTTCGCGACTCCACCCCCCTCCCGCTCCCAACCGCGGAACCCCCGGTGCTGCTATTTGGGCCGGCCAGCTTGTTGGACGGAACGGAGGAAAGCTTCGCACCACCGCTGCCTAGGGCAGTGCTACCTCCTGAGGGCGAGGAGAGCTTCTGTGTTCTTGTGGTCGGTGGGGACGAGCGAGCAGCGGGCCCCGATGCTGCAGCAGCTAGTCCCTGTGTAGTAGCTATCGGTGTCGGGATTAAGACGATAACGAGCGAAGAATGGGCAGAGGGGGGGGCAAGCACGCGGGTCAATTGGCGTCAAGATCGACGAGGAAACAATCAAGATCGACAAGGAAACAATTTCTTGAGAATGGTGAGAGTGCATATGATACGCACCACCTACGGTATGCCATCTGCCATGTGATACCACAACAAGGAATTACAGGACGGACTGGGCACAATATGGCGTCCTGACATCTACTACTGGACGTGGGAGAAAAGTGGTTCCTTTGTACAATTACTGCGGGATGTGGAATAAAAAAGCGGTTCCATTGTAAACTCACTGCTCGATGAGGAAGAGAGTGGTTCTATTGTACACTTACCGCTGGATGTGGAACAAAAAAGTGTTTCCTTCGTACACTTGCTGCTGGATGTGGAAGAATTTGGTTTCTTTGTAGCATACATCTACTGCTTGATGTGGAAGAAGCGCTTCATTTGTACGTCTGTCTCCTGCTGGATGTGGAAGAATGTGGTTCCTTTGTAGCATACATCTACTGCTGGATGTGGAAGAAATGACTCCTCTGCACGTTTGTCAACTGCTGGATGTGGTTCCTAGCATACGTCTACTGCTTGATTCGCTCACCGGTCGAGGAGGAATCCCTTGTAGGGTACACCCTGGTGGCCACCGCTGTTGCGCCTCGCCTTCCCCTGCCCTTGCCCTTCCCCTTCGTAGCCCTGGCGGTAACGCGAGCGTCAGCTTCGCCTTGAGCTTCTCCAGCGGCGTCTTCATCATCACGCATCACGCTCTCCAGACCCTCCTCTTCTCCCTCCTCCTCCTCATTCTTCTTCTTCTTCTTGTTGACGTCACTACTATCACCACCAACGTCCACGTCGGCGGTGTTGTCCGGGGGAGGGGGGGGGGGCATGGCCTTTGCGACCGCCTCTTCCATCTCCTGCTCCAGCGAGAGGATCACAGGACAAGTTTAGGGTTGGGGGTTTGAAATGCATGTGTGAAGCTTTGGGGATCTCACTCGCTGCCATCATCGCAATAGTACCTATGTGTGAAGCCTCGGGGAATTTCACATGCTGCCACCATCGTATACTCATTGTACCTATGCCGCGATGTGCCAAACACCAAACGCTCTTCCTGTTCCCACCACAATGCCCCCCCCCCCGCCCCCATACCCCGACCGCGGAGACCCCCTCAGTACACTCACCCCACTGTACACCACACCCCACTGTATAGAGAGGACACTAATATCACGAATACGTAGCGGACATCGGCCGTCTATGCATGCTTGAAGAACTTTCTAGCGGACAGACCGCGGATTCCTGTAACCCCACACCATGCACAGGACAAGAGAGCGCCATCAGAGATTCAACCAAGGACCCACGTCAGGTCCGACGATCCGCTACATGCTTGTCACATAGCGTCCGTCACATCATGACATGACGACCCATGGATGACGAATGATCATGACGCCCCGAAAAACCAGTCAAGACATGGAAGCCTCAATTGTACCTGCGCACGCCCTGCATCGTTCGGTGTTTGTGAACGGCACGGCACACCCCCGCAACAAAACAAACGAAAACCTTGCTTCCCTTCACCGCGACAAGAAACCAAGCGCACTCTCAAGCACACCAGGACTGCATACTCAAAGAGAAGTTAAGTTTGTTACGAAAAAACAGTACCTCACCCCAACCCCCAACTTTGCCGATTTTGAATACTTTATCCAAGTATGTTTGCTCGCTTAGAAAAAAACAGCGCAGACTTCTGCAACAACAACGCATCGGGCGTGTACCTTAAGCTCTTGCCGCCACAAGAGTCGCTCGGCCTCCTGCCGCTCCGCCCTGAATACGGTCTTGAGCTTGACGGCCGCGTGTGCCGCTGACACCCTTGGCTCCGCGACGCTTTTGCTAGCCTCCGCGTACATGCGGGACACGGACTGTTGTTGTAGCAAGACCCAAGCGAATGGATACGCATCCAGCGGGCGAGACGCGAGAGGGACAAGCCGAAACAACGCCGAGAGAGTTGACATAAATAAGGTCAAGTGGTTATAAGAGACTCAGGCAACGCTAACAAGAGACTTAAGCAAGGCTAACAAGAAACTAAGCAAGGTCAACAAGACAAAGCAAGGTTAACAAGACTCAGGCAAGGCTAACAAAGAGACTAAGTAAGGTTAACAAGACTCAGGCAAGGCTAACAAAGACATCAAGTAAGGTTAACAAGACTCAGGCTAGGCTAACAAAGAGATGAAGTAAGGTTAACAAGACTCAGGCAAGGCAAACAAAGAGATGAAGTAAGGTTAACAAGACTCAGGCTAGGCTAACAAAGAGACGAAGAAAGGTTAAGGTCACTAAACGCCGTGAAGGCTGCAGGGAAGCACAATCACGCAGAAGAAGAAACATCCGAAGAAGGCCCGGCACACAACTGTGTAACTGGGTCAAAGGCTTACACGGATGGTCTACTTGGAGGAGTATTACAAAACGCCGACAGCGAAAGGAGAGGCTGCCGATAAACATGTCACATGCTAGTAAACTTAGGGACGATTGCTCGTGTTTTTCTTCTTGTCTTGCATTTCACATGAGCTTTCGTCCTTCCACATGAAAACATGCCCCGATCTCCGCTCAGCACCATGTAACAATATCCGTACCGATCCAATGAACGCAGGCGCCTTTCATGGCCCCAAGCTAACTAACGACTAATCTTACCCAGCAAGCCATACGACAAATCAAAGAGGCAAGAGCAGAACAAGGAATCGTGCGGCAAGTTACCCATGAGTTTCCTTTCGGCTAAGCGAGTATTGTAGCCTGCTAGCCGCAAGCATACATAGGAACAACGTCGCCAGGGGCTCTACACAAAACTTTCGCCCCGGCGGTCGGGTGGGTTCGCGAGCAGCTCAAGACAGCAGCGGCCTTGATTACTTGGGGCTCACTTCGATTCTATTGATCGTTTCTGTTGATCCAATCTGTTTACGTCAGCATGATGAAGGACGTTACCACAATACAGCAGCATCAAGGCTACTGACATGCCCCTGTTTGCTCAACACAACAGCATCGAGACGACCAAAACCCACCTCTGTTTGCTCGCATCGCGCCCTATCCTGCAGGTTGGCCTCCCGGACCAACTCCTGCTGCCTCAAGCTAGGCAGCAGCTTCGAGGACAGCTCCCACTCACTACTGCTGCCGCTGCTGCCACCGCCACCACCCCCCTCGCT